ATCGGACTATCGATATATATCGAACTTCGATATGTCGATTATCGAACTTCGATATATCGATTATCGAACTATCGATATATATCGAACTTCGATATATCGATTATCGATCTATCGATTATCGAACTTCGATATATCGATTATCGAACTATCGATATATATCGATTATCTAACTTCGATATATCGAAGTTCGATATATCGATTTTTAAACTTTCGATATATATAGAACTTCGATATATCGATTTTTGAACTATCGATATATATCAAACTTCGTTTGTTTATATCATAGGTGGGTTATGATGCTACTGGTTTAGCACCACCTTGTATTTTTATGTATAGTTTTAATGTCTTCCATATTACATATATATTTTATAACACTTTACATTGTGCTGCTACTTCATATTTTTACAATATACTAATGAATAAATCAAATTATTTTTTAAACAAATGTTATTATTTATTTTGTAACTATACTAAGAGTACTGCTATTTTAACACGTCTATTAGAATTAAAAAGAACAAGAAACAAAAATGAACATTAAATTTTAAACATTTCATATTACTTTTGAGTATCTGTAAAAATTTGAAAATGATTTAATACATTCCATACAATGTGTACCATTTGTAGTACATGTTAAACTTGATGATCAGGTCACATGTACCATAAATGGTATACGCAGACATATTTATTTAATGAGCTGAAAATCAAATGACCTGTATTACAAGTTGGACTTGGCAGGGAACGTGTTAAAAAGGTGCTTTGCAGCTACGTTGTATTCAATCATTTCCTGAAACAAAGTAAAACGACAATTACATTGAAACAATTCTTGTCTGTTCGGTGTGGTATCTGTAAAAATATAAAAGTTATTAAAAAACATTATAAAATAATTAGTTTCTATAGATGAAATGTGGATAAAAGAAAAGGAATAAGAAAAATTATGATATTAATTAGAAAGTTAAATGAAACTAATTACAATTATAATGTTTATGGTAAGCGGTCTTTGGCTAGATTTTACTTGCAATTGAATGTATAGCATATTAAAATATGTTAAACATTATATTGAAAGTAAAATACCATTGCCCGGGTCTAACCACGTGGAGGTAACCGCTTCTGAAGACCCAGGAGGGATGTGCATCCTGAAGATTACCACATCCGAATATAATTCAAAGGAATGAATCTAACTCTTAGGCCCCACCATAAGAGTACCACCATAAAAAAATCTTTAGAATTATTTTTATTATTTTTAAAAAATATTAAAAAATACAAAATGATAAACCATGAGTGTAACCTAAAAATAAATTTAATAAAATCATCGATGTTACCTAAAAGTAACACACTCTAGAATAATTTCAATATATGCACATAAGAAAATTACAAGTTACGAATATTTTATATTGATTAATTTTTAATCTATAAAAAATATAATATAATAAAAATAAATATATATAATATTAGATGGTACCTGTAGAAAAGAAAAACGATATTAGATAATACCTGTAGAAAATAAAAGAAGATATATTAAAAATAACTATCATACACATACGATGATACTAGAAAGAATCAAATAAAAAGAATTAAAATACTTTAATTATTTTTGCAAGTAATTATTTTATATTACCCTTTACCATAATTATAGTCCTCTTATTATCTGCTTCCTATTATTCTTGGATGTAATATTGCATCGTCTTTATAATTCATCCTGTGAATAAAAAAGTAATATAAATAAATTGAAATACAACCCGTTTACCATAACTCAGTCCTCTTCTGGTCCATATTCCTCTCCTTTTGAATACTCCACTATTATGAGAAACCTAAAACAAGAAGAAACCTAAAACAAAAAGAAAAATAAAGAAGTAGGAAAGGAGTGATGGTTGGTGGGATGAAATTCAAGGTAAAGGACATGATTTCTCTCAGTTATTGGAGATAGGAGAAAACCATGGCTCGCGTAGGGCAGGGTCGCATCCCTGAAGTAGACCCTTTCTTTGCGAAGAAACCAAAGAAAGAATCTACCCGCTACCCATTGAAAAAAGAAACTCGAAACGAATCTGAAAAAGAAAAAGAAAAGATTATTTTGAGGAGCTGAAAAGATGCAATGAATGCATCGAAGGGCAAGTTCCCGATGAAAAACCAACCCGATGCACTTACAAGTGCATTAGAATTAATCATATTCTGAAACAAAATAAAATGAAAATTAAGTTACTAATACCTAGAAAAAAAGATATATTAAAAAATATTATAAAATAATTAGTTTCTATGAATAAAATGAATAATGAAGAAAGGTGTGGGGTAATTGGAAATGATAAAATGATATGATATTAAAGTGAGGGGGAATTCTAATTGGGATTGTACTCTATAAAATCAAATTTTTCAAATACTCGATTTATTTTTGGTAATAAAAATCTCTGGTAATTGGTGGTGGTAATTCCAACGATATTCACCTATAACAGAAAGAAAACTATATTAATTACTTCCATTCTTAAAAAACCACTATAAATTATTGACGAGCAAAATAATAAAACAATCAAAATATCAAATGACCAACGAGCTATTCGCAAAAATTCAACCATGCTGTTGAATTTGCAAATAACTCATTGAGTACATAGTTGCCCTCTTGAGCCACAATTAAGTGGGGGCCTCTTCGGCATTTTGCCTCTTCTTTCTTGATGCCTACTGTCGGACATTCCCTACGTGCGAGCATGAAAAGAATCATTGACCAAAAACATCAATCGTTCCCAAAAAGTATTCACATAATTTAGCATGTTACAACGATCAATGATATAGAATCAGAATTGTCCCTGATTCTAAATTATAAAATGAAAAAAAACCCGACCTAACCAACCCTAACACAACCCTGAAAATAAAAATGTGATTAGTAAAACATCCTGAGCTCTTTTTACATTGAAAATAATTATTACCTTTTGATCGAGAGATATTTCTTCGTCGAAAGGAATATTATTAACCATGTAAATTATCAATTCTATTCTAATACCATATCGTTGTAACATGCCAAGTTATGGTCCTACAATTTAGAAACGACTTCAAGACATTTTCACCCAATTACTCTCAACTGCTTATAATACTAATATAAATGAAATACATTTCAT